AGCGTGATTTTAAGGATTTTTGCACCACTTTTCAGGGCCAATACACTCTGGAAGCAGCATATGTTTTTTTAAAAAACAACAACCCTAAAATCACAAAACTGGTACCAAAGAAATTCTGTATTAAAACTGTAAACCAGTTAAGAATTATCCACATTTCTGACTAAAATATAAGCTAAAAGCAGAAAATACTATCACTGTTATGCATTAGGTTTATAAAATGGCACTCTCCGCCTAGCAGCCATTCTGGATTATGTACAGTACAATATTAAATATTTACAGAAAGCCCCAGCAGCAGCTGGAAGCCTTTCTCCTGCATAAGGTTCTCTAGGTCTGGGAGCAGGAAATCCTACTGAGTTTTTCTTATGAGAAATCTTATGTGCTCCTAAAGGACAAAATGGACTGACCGTTACTCCTAATATTACAATTACCACACCAGCACAGGGTCCTTCTTCCAGACCTGACATAATAAACTGGCCCAAATCCTGTTGCTAAGCTGGGCTTCAAGAAGGCAAACTATGTACTGTAACTTGCACCAGCTTTTTTCTTTCTTACTTACACAAGAAAGGGGTGTCGCTGGTAAACTGAGTGAAGGACCCCAGCTTGTCTTTCCCCCAGCAAGGCAGAGGTACAAGCCAATAATAAACCATTGCATTTAACATTGAATTACTGGGGGAGGCAGAAACTGGAGTGCCAGATTCAGATGCCACAGTAAAAGAAACCACAGACTTCTTTCTTAACCATGCTTGCGATTTCAGTAAACAAGGTGTTGGATTGAAATAGAAGATCTGCGTCCTTGGGGTAGAAGGTAGGGAGCTGATTTATACCAAGTCAGATCCATCATCCGGTATTGCCAGCTGTGGCACTGGCACCAGGGATTCTGGCAGAATTCTTCCTTAGTCCAATCAAGAAGATTGTTCTTCGTGGCCTCTGTGAATGCACACAAATGGGTTTCAGTGCACCTGCACAGAGAACCTCGGAAACTTCTAGAGCTTTTACGCTTGTCTCTTAGGACCTCCCTCATGTCGCGCTTGCCCTGCCCATGGGACAGAGTGCCTCACTTCCTTTTCTTGCCACCGCTGCAGCAGCACCTCAGCTGCGAAGGTGCGTTCTTCTTTGTGGCCTCTGTGAATGCACACAAATGGGTTTTACTGCACCTGCACAGGGCTCCTCGGAATATTCTAGAGCTTAAAAAGATGTAATTAGTAGAGCGTTGCCCCGTGGTGCGCGTGCTCTGCCCGCCCAAAATACCTCCGTTTCTTTTCGCCACCACTGAAATCGGACTCCTGTAGTGACTCCTAGAGCGATTTTCTGATCTTACGTTTTTTCTGATCTTTCGGACGGCCTGACGTGTTCGATTCTTGGATCACGGACTTAATCAAGTTTTTTTTTATTTACGAACGTTTCCCTGTGAGTTATCTCTTCTTTTTGTCCCCCCCCCCACCTTCTCGCCCTTTATTAATGGCCTCTTCAGGCCCATTCAAGCGTTACATGACGTGTGTCAGTAAAATTCCTTTTACTGACAGCCACCATGATCGTTGCTTGTTCTGTCTGGGTGAGAGCCACCAGACTCACTCCTGTCTGGAGTGTAAAAAGTTAACAAAACCAGCTCTTAAACTCCAGCTGCAACGACTTAGGTCCTGCTTGTGGGAAAAATCCTTGGCACCCTCCAGTCCTCCAACCAGCCCCACAATGGAACCTACCCCTACTCCAGGGCCTCGATCTGCGCCCTCTCTTCAACTACTCCCTTGCCAAGGACCTCCACCAAGGTTTCCAAGCCAAAATCCCCCTCGGCATCAACGTTGATGTATTCCTTGGTTTCTGTACCGAGCTTGTCTGGAGCAGCTCTAACATCTTTTGGCAAAACAAAAATAAATGGTAATCAGTGCTTATACTATTCGATGTATAAACACATTAGAGAGAAGTGCAGGGATTAGTCTACAAACAGGGAGGAAGGAAAGGGGAAAGGGTGCTTTCTTTGAAATGGATAGAGGCAGTGTGTTAAAACAGCAGTCCCCCACCTTTTTGGGACTGCAGACTGGCTGAGCCTCTGAGGTGGGTGGGGCACCCCCGCGCATGTGCATGTTCTTTTGGGCGCATGTGTGAACCAGTGGAGAGCATGTGTGTACACCTGCCAGCACCGGCGTGAGCGCTCCTCCATCCCTTTGCACATGTGCCGAAGCGCCTGCACGTGAGCCCCCACCCCTTCGCGCGGGCGCTCAGGTGCCGAAGCGCCTGCACGTGAGCCCCCACCCATTTGCGCGGGCACTCAGGTACACGCATGAAGGATTGGGGGAGTGCTCACTCTGGTGCTGGCACGCATGCATGGGCGCAAAGCAGGTGTGGGGAGGGGAGTCTCCGCGGCCCGGTCTTGCTCAGGCCACGGACCGGCCACGGACTGGGGGTAGACCATCTCTGTGCTAGGAGATTGTCATGTAGTATTTCTGGATTCTCCTTTAGTTCTCTGGGAACCTTTTGTGTCAGAGCTTGGCAGCATCAGCAATTCTGTAATTTAACCTGCTCCAGATGCAGGAAAATTCCTCCCTAATAACAGTTCTCTGGAATGTTATCCTGGCTTAATTGAAATAAATGGGGGGGGGATTGAATTGGGCTATACCAAGCTGAATCTTCCCCTTGATCCGACTGATTCAGTCATTGAAAGAGAGGCAGTTCGATCTCTCCTCTCCAGCCCTACTCTTAATAACAACTGTGGAGGTGTAGGAGAAAGCAATTTGAGGTTGGGCTGCAGGAAGGAGAAGAGACAAAAATCTCACCCTATGAGTGTACTTTTTCTTGAGTGCAGTTTGATTTCGCTCACTAACAACCACTGCAGTAGGGTTCCCCTAAAGTTCCTGGGGTCTGTGCCCCCCCAGAAAAGAAAAGAGGGTTGCTAGAGACTCCTGGCCCCTATTTACACCCAAACTGAAGTGAGCTGGCTAGCCAGAGACATAGGCGGTGGGTAGGTACTCCTCTTCTGCTGATTTGCCCTGCATCTTGCCATTCCCAGCTCTCATGTTCCTGTAAAACTTGAGAAATGCACCATGGGGGGGGGGAAATCACACATATGTCAGATTAATGGTTTGTTCAGTTTTTTATTAAAGTCTTTTGAGAGCTTTATGGATTAAGATCTGCTCAAACAGGATTCTCTCTCTCTCACACACACACACAAAATATTGCATGTGTTACTGACTTGACACCAAGATCCAGAGCGATCACTCTTGCAGACGTTTGGTAGGCGGGCAGCCTTTTCTGAGCATCGGTATTTCTGCTGTCCATGCATCATGCCAATCATACTGCTTGCCTCCATCGCTCAAGGTTGATTTTAATGTAGTCAGAGTAGGAAATCATGCAGCCGTGCAGTAAACAGCTTCATGTACGATGAAAACTTTCATGAATATGTGGCTCACGTGGCACAGTTTGGGAATTAACTAAACCCGTGGCATGAGGGAGCCGTCTGGCTGTGCGTAGGGCAACCTGCTCTCCTCTTACATATCTGCTTTTATTAGTTGGTAGCCTCTGCCGTGTCCTTCATTCCTAGGCCTTGCTAACAGCAGATCACAAAAGCCCAGAGGAAAAATAAATAAATAAATACATTAGTGCCCTCCCAAATACTGTTTTTACCTGGTCAGGATGATTGAGTCCAACTGGGGCTGATGAAGGTATGTCTCCCCCCCCTTTGGGGGGGGGGTTTAAACTAGCCACTGCAGTTTTTCAAGGTTCTGTTTTTTTGTACCAGGTTCAAACAGTCTTTTCAAGCAAGGGCTAACTTTTTTTGAAAAAAATAACCTCAATATCAACACATAAATATGCAGGAGCAGGAGATGCTTTTATTAGACCACTTAAAAAATCAAGCAAACCACAGACAACTCTTATTTTGATGGTCATTCCTCTTCAGGCTGTGCACCACATTTTTGCGAGTCGTTCAGAAAAATATATATTTTTATGAAAGCCCCAACGTCTATAATTATCCTCAAAAGCAAGCTGTCTGATGTCTGCTTGATATTTTTTTTATTTGTTTGTTTGTTTAAGTGATCTAAGAAAGATACTGCCCGCCCCTGCATTTGTATTGTTTTCGAGACCCCACGGCTCTCTCTTCTGCTTTGATCCACCCCTGAGGTTCTGTGTTGTCGTGACTCCCTGCTTGACTCCCGACTGACCTTGGTGGTCCTTTGTTGTTCTCCTGTTTCCTAGGTGGGGAGCAGCACAGCCACTGCCTTCTCGACCCCTCCCTTCCCACTTCCGAGACACCACAACAGCATTCACTCACCTTGTGATGTCCCCTTTCCACACTGAACAGCACTGGCATCTACCTGTAAGGGTAAGGTAAGTCTGTCAAACCACAGCGCCATGATTTCAAGGAGGTATCCCCTTGTGTTTCAGTATCCTCGCAGGGATAGCTTGGAAGCTGTGAAATGAGTATTTGGAAACTTCGCAGTGGACCTGCAGTTACCCCCACAGGGAAACTCCAGTGCTGTTCAGGAATGGAAGGCCTGTTGTAGACAATGCATGCTGGGATGTGTCTTCTTTTCTTGGGCGAGGTCTTAACAGCAGGCGGTATCTGCTGGTCCAGCCGCCAGCGGGCTATCCCCATTCTAGCGGCCAGGAGAAGGGATTTAATAATGTCTTCACAGCCGACTTAACGTTTTGAGGCCATGATTTGGAACTGTGCATGGTAGCTGTCACAGTGCAGCTGTGTGTTTACGTTGACTGGATGAGTCATTTCTTGCATGTCTCTTGTTTTTTCTGTGCTCTGAGTTCAGTCTTGTTTTCTTGTACCAGTAAACCTCTCATAAAAAGTAGAAAAGAAAACAATAATTCCCCCACAAGTGGGAGGGGGTGCTCTTTTGTTTTTATAAAACTTATTTGTAGCCTTCTCCTCCTCCTCCCCTCCCCAATATTTTCTATGTTCATCAGGTTTTTATTAAAGTTAGTATTCTGGAAAATCCAATGACGCCCCTTTTTTAAAAAAAAATCATGTTGAAGCTCGGTGTTTTTTATTTTAGTTATCTACTACTTCCCTTCCTTCTCCCTCCATTCTCTGTTCAAATGGAGAGGATATAAGGAGAATGCAGAGGCAACAGGGCTTAAGCGCAAGCGGTCTGAAGGTTTCGAGATTGCAGATTTGTCTTCTTGTCTTCTTGTCTAGGCATTTTTCTGTTGTAGCTATAGCCTCTTCTGGTGTAGTGCTCTAGAGAACCCCATGCTTTCCCTCTGCATGGTCTTGACACTACTCTCTTCCGAAATAGAAAAGCATGAAGAAAGCAATAGCGGATCTGAATGAGATGATCCATGCAGACAGCATTAGAGGCTGGCAATGGTCCTAACCACGTGCGCCAATGATTCATTAGGGATCCAAAACGCTGCCTATAATAGCTGCTTAAAAATTGGTCCATGCTCTAAAAGTAGGATACTTCTACCTTCAGAAGCTTATTGCACTGTCTGCAAATCTTATCCAGAAGATGGGATGTTCAGCAGTTACCTGACTAAGCATTCCTGCGGGATCCAGACTCTTCCTGCTCAGCTATGGTGTACTCATTGGATGGGTTCTATCCAATCTCTGTGTATGTTGTGTAATTGCATCCTGCTTTTCTCCTGCCACCTCCTTGGAGGCCTATTTAACAAGTAGTACTGTACAAACAGGATCGAATCTAAGTTCGCAAGTTGAGTCCATATATTCCTATGAGAGCGGTTCGTAAGTCGAAACGTTCGTATGTCGAGCCGTTCGTAAGTCGAGACCCCACTGTAGTACTCTACAAACAGGGCTTATGAAACAACCAGTAAGTGGTGCATGCTGGAGAGGTCTAGAGGCTAGCACTGCTAAAGGCAAGTACTTGCCAACCAAGAAGGGTCCCTTACATCTCCGTTTTGTGGGTTCACTTGCCTGACCGCTGGAGAGCAGTACAACAGGCTAGCTCTTTAGCAGAAGACATGTTGTTCCTTTGCAGACCGTAATACAGTTTGCTAATTCTTATCATTCGTAACATTCCCAGCAGTGCACTTGGAAACAAATAAAGGATTAAAGTTTTTTTTTTACAATGCAAAGCAAACACTCATTTGGACCCCCACAATTTTTTTAAAAAAAGTAGGGGGCAGCAGGAGATGGAGTTTGGAACAGAGAAGGAACAGGCAGGGAAAGGATAAATCCAGCGCTCTGCAATTTTACGTTTTCTCACCCAAATATGTTTGTTGTTTCTAGTAAGAGAAGAGAGCTAGCAGAGACTTGTTAGATGTGTACATGTATCTCATCTAGTTCAGCCTTACATAATGCATGATCTCTTTTGTTTAACATCTGTCAGCCCATTCCTGAAACTTGCTAACAAATGCTTGCCTTTTAAAGCACCGTCTTCTCTCCTTTTGCTCCAGAACAAAGTGCCACATGAGCCTTTTGTATCTGCTACACACGGGGCCTCTTCTTTCGCTCTAAGAATATTGCAGTAGCTTATAAATATTTCATAGTCCTGGATCGTGGCACCAGATTTTTAGAAACACAGACATCAATTTGTGGGCATGTGATTTCCCCCTTCCTGCACAGATGAACCTTTTATTTGGGAAGCAAACAATGGAAATTGATTTATACTACTTCCTCTTATGAAATGATAAATGTATGGTGCAGTTGGAAGTGATAAATAGCTACATAGCCCTCATCTAAGCTGCTTAATCTAGTCTTCAGTTACAGCCAGGCTATGTGTATTCTGCAAGTTCTTCCTGCCTCCCATGGCTGTATGAAAATCATACAGTAAAAGCGTGCGCAGAGTGAACTTGTAAAAATTATGCAGATTCAAAGAAAGCATACATTTTAAGGTGTGATGCTTCAGCATGGTGTTGAGTGGTTGAATGCATAAGAAAGAAATTAAACACTGGAGATTTGGTCCATCCTTCTGGTTTCTGAGCTTTTAGCAAAAGCAGATTGAAAATTGATACTTTCCCAGACTTACGTGGAACTTTTATATCCTTTAACACCATATATTAAATTATATGCTGTGACAACATAGATGTATAGAATACACATGGTCGTGGGCTTGCTTTTCTGTGTTATTCCCACTCTTTTTTTCTCTACCTAGCTTTGTGAGAATTCCTCCTATTTCTTCATTAAGGCAGTCTTCTTCTTCTTTTTTTCTTTTCTTTTTTTGCTACAGCTATTCATAGCTTGAAGCTGAGCCGAAGCCATGTCGACTGGCACAGTGTGGATGAAGTGTATCTTTACAGCGATGCAACAACTTCGAAAATTGCAAGGACTGTCACTCAGAAGCTGGGTTTTTCCAAAGGTAAACTTTTCTGATTTTTAGTGCATGCCGGCAAATAATAGATCACCTCAAGTAGCATTTGCTCCTCTGTAAAAAAAAAAAAAAAAAGGCATAGGACATAAAGTCCTAAATCGTGTTGCCAGTCCTAGCTGATTGAATCAGTTCTTCTTTGTGGTTTCTGTGATTGATAGGTGAGTCTTGCACTTGTGAAGATAAGCGTCCAAAACATTCCATGACTGAGTTGCTTTGGGCCAGTTTGTGTCGACTGATTCATTAGCTTTGCAGTGATCCATTAGCTTGCAAAGAGAGTAGCAGACCCATAATCGCTCGCAGTTTCTTGGTGCTCTGCCATTCCAGCCATTTTAAGGTCAGCGGAAGAGGTAGTTCCATTGGATGCTCTCTTCATATGCAATATTTGGCATCAGGATTCCTTCTTCTATGGACCTTGGCACGTTGCACAGATTCTTGCAACTCCCACACTGCAATGGAGCAGTTTTCTTACCTTTAGAAGCAGCAGCACAGGAATGCAGTAAGTTCCAGGTGAATTGTGGGACTGGAAAGTCCCACAACTGCCTACAACTGTGTTTCTTTGAGTGGCTGTCTAAAGTCACACAGCCTTCTAAGCTCCTCTCTGATTTCTGCTGCTATTCTTTGGTGTGAGACTCAGTATAGTGGTGCCTCGCTTAACGATTGCCCCGCATTATGACAAATCTGCTTTACGGCGATCTTTTTGCGATCGCGAAACGATGGTCTAAATGGGGGAATTTCACTTTGCGATGATCGGTTCCCTGCTTCGGGAACCGGTTCTTCGCAAAACAATGTTTTTTAAATAGCTGATTGGCGGCTTCAAAATGGCTGCTGGTTTTCAAAATGGCCTCCCACAGGTTTCAATGCATTTCAATGGGATTTTTATTTTCGCTTTACGATGTTTTTGCTTAACGGCGGTTTTCCTGGAACGGATTATTGTCGTTAAGTGAGGCACCACTGTACTGATCTCCGATCACTGAGGCTTGCTGGAGCAAACACAGTATGTAGATGAGGGTGGCATTCTCTTTCAAAGCTGCACAGTTCTGGAATGTTTTAGATGTGTCTGTGCACAGGTGTAAGGCCCACATGGGAGTGTTTGCAAGTGACTGGAAAAACAGTGTTACAGATAAGCAACTGTTCTTACTGAATAGAAATCCATACTTAATGTAAATTCCATTGTTTTAGAGACTCATTGCGACAGGTACATGGTTTTAGGCCATTAAATTTTAAAAGTCAAATAGATTTTATTGTCTATTGCTCTCACGCATACAATCTTTTCAAAGAATTTAACTACAATGCTGGCTCTCCAAATCTAAAGTGCTGGTCAGACGTCAGACACTGTGAACTCACTCTGAGGAAAACACAAAACTCCCAGTTGGCACACAGTTGGCATTTGTCCAGTTGAATTGGCAACTGCAGACAAACAAGGAACAATATCGGCATCATACAAGAAAGATCAGTCATGTTCATCTTACCTGTCTTTAGAGAATGTTCAGCAACAAATAACAGGATAAAGTCCCTGAACCTTGAGCGTTGGTGAAAACACTGATGGCAAGCATTTTTACATTCTTTGACATGTAAAACTATGACAACTTCATTGAGCTAGTCATGTCATCAGGGTGTTGGGTGGCCGTCTAACAAAATGTATTCTCTGTGGGGAGCTTGTTGCAGGGGATTTATTGCATGATGGACCAGAGCAACTCAAGGAGACACTGAAGTCAACATGGAAAGAATTTTATGTTGACCCTATCAACTGGAAAGCTCTCACTCAAATCCAGAGTGCCTGGTGAAACAGAGTCAAAATAAGAAGCTAAAGAATTCAAAATATAAAGAACCAAGGATGAACAAAGGAAGAGAAAAATGAGAAAACAAGGATGCAACATCTCAGCAGTCAGACCAGCCAGGGTGGATTAAAATATATGCTTTTTTCAAAAAAAAAAAAAAAGGATTAAAATTTAAATCAGATTTTTTTTTAAATTTAAAGAAATGCATTTGGAAGAAGAAAAAAAAAAAAAAAAAAAAAGATTAAAATTTAAATCAGATTTTTTTTTTTAATTTAAAGAAATGCATTTGGAAGAGGTTTTTCCTAAAATATTTTTCTATTTAAGATACATTATAGTTCAAAGGTTATTCGGCATGAAATATAGCTTAGTTATGTAGCATGAGGCTGTATAGTTGTGCAATATTTAAATTTATAAAGTAAGCAAAGTTCAAGATAAGACCTTAATCCCATTGTTGTTCGGCAAATCTATGTACAAACAATGAACACATTACAGTGTTATCCGCGGGGGATCGGTTCCAAGCCTCCCCGTGGATGCTGAAAACCGGCGATGGAGCAAACGCTATACATTGCGTGGTCTCTGGATCCCTTTAGTGGCCAGTTCTGGTAAATACACCCTGGAAATGTTTGTTTGTTTGACTTTTATACTGCCCAACTGGCCACCAAGGCTACTCTGGGTGGTTCACAACCTTAAATAAATACAGTGGTGCCTTGACTTACAAACACCGCGACGTACGAACATTTTGACTTACAAACAGCTCCATTCTAAATATGAATTTGTTTTGTGGTTGCAAATGCTAAAGATTATAAATACCAGCAAGAATGAGACTTTACATTTACAAATCATGATTTAAATCAAGTCTTACTGACTTGTGATTTAAACTGACTTGATTTAAATCAAATCCACCGTGCAACTAGGATTACCTAGCCTATCCCCACTGTTTCTTCTTCGTGGTTTCTGTGAATGCACACGAATGGGTTAAACTGCGCCTGTTTAGGACTCTTCAGAATATTCTAGAGCTTAAATAACAGAATATTCGAGAGCTTAAATAACTAATTCCTTTTTGCTGTTGCTGTAATTGGACTCTTTTGCGACGCCTAGAACTATTTTCAATTCTTTCAAGTCTTCTGGTTTTCATTCGGGCCTGGTTTCTTGACTACGTTTTTTTGATCTCTGGAGTATTTTGACTCGGACTGACTGAATCTGATGGAGAAGGTGTTCTTCAAAAATGAAGTACAAGTTCCTATCCAATGAACAATCCCACTTGGAAGTAAGGGAGTAGACCCCAAAAGAGAGAAGAATCTCAGCTCCATTTACAAGGGGCTGTAATAGTTGATTTTAGCCTGCGGAGGAACATTTGCTTTCTCAGCAGATGTCAAGGACCCATATTACAGAATCACTGCTGCAGAAATG